ACGAGGTCTACCACTTCCTGCAGTGGCCATAAGGTGGCGCTCTGGTCTTAACCCAGCACAGCAGGCCCCTGACAACACTAACAGGGAGAAAAAGTCACTGTGACTTCTTGTGTGTTGTATGAATAACTGCATGCATTTATGCATGATCTTTACATGCATTAATGCAGCCTGTGTAAGGACAGCAGGTCGGTCAGCTCAGACTGTCTTCTCCTGCTCGCTTGTTCTTCATCCATCCATCCATCAAACATCCTCCTTTTCCTTCTTTTTCTTCCCTTTTTCCAGTCCTCCCGTTTTTTTCTCTCTCTCCTCCCTCTCTGTCCCTAGAGGTTCCTAAACCTGGTCTGTTATATATTTAAAAACTCCCCTAAATTCAAAAGCACATAAAGCCAGAATCATCAGAACATTACGCCTAAATTCATTTTCATTATTCACTATTCATTTTCCAAAACCCTTACTCGTACAGCTATTTGCTGGTTTCAGACCCAGATTTTGTCTGACTGTTTGTCGTACAACAAAACCAAAGAGTATGAAGCTGCTTCACTGCAGTTACGTGACAATTAAACCAGTCGAGTGATAAAAACGTCATCCATCCCGCCCACTCGCCTTCCTGGATATTTCCTGCTGCGTTCACACATCAGTTGAACCAAGACTTCACGTGGACATTTTACTGGGGGGCTGGCGGGGGGGGGGGGGGGGGGGGGAAATATAGTCCCGTGCATGTGTCTGAAAACACCCAAAAAGTCTGCGAGGGACCGAGCAATCAGGCAAAGGTCAAAGAGGTGTAAAGAAAAGCGTTTTTTTTTGCTTTAACACGTTGAAAAGGTGATTAAAAAAACGAGACTTTTTAACATGCAACATAAGAAAAACTACAAAAACAGAGCCCAAATCAAAAAGAGCTCAACTAAGCAGCAAAGACCTAAAGCTTCAACCTAAAGAAACATAACTAATCAGTCCTTTTGGGAACGTGAGATGCTCTCTAGTTTCTGTATCTGATGAGTAAAACTACTTATTGAGTACCAATCGATAATGTAAGTCGCAGCTTGAATCTACACGTCTGCGTCACTTTCATCGCATTTCTACTCTTTTCATTGACTGACTGTGTTCACATTTATTTTCAGCTCAAATCAACAATTTCAATGTGAGGAGTCGGTGACCTAGCGGTTGGTGTGCGTGCCCCCTGTACTGAGGTTTAACCCCGGAGAGTGGGCGGCCTGGTTTCCAGTCCGGCCTGAGGCTCTTTTCACTGTCATTCCCAGCTCTCCCGGTTTCTGGCTCTGTCCACTGTCCCGTCTCTAGATAGGAGGCGCGGAAGGCCCAAAAATAAATCTTAAATAAAATTAATTCAACGTCCTTAAAATGTGACGACTAACGTAGACTTTTGGCATCAGTCAATCAGATTCAAAACGTTGTGTCTTCTCGCTCAAACCAACATTTTTTCACTGACAACTTACTAGACGTAGGAATTCAAAGAAGTGGAGACATGATGCCATGATTTTGGCATGAGTGTATGCGAAAGAGGAAGTTCACCCCTGTGCGATCAGGCCTGTTCAAGGGCACCCTGGGAAATGTAGGCATAACTGTAAAGAAGTCGATAGTTGGATTGAAGAAATATCTATATATAAAAAATACAATTAGACATTTTAATCATTCCAAAAAATGTGATTAAATGCATTAAACAAACCAACTCTAACAATTCAGAGAATTTGAGTGTTTTTCTAATGAAGCTTGTCTGCAGATTTCAGAACGTTCAAGACAGAGAAGGACACCAAGATGGAAGGAGGGGGGCAGACGGGGCCTGCAAGAGATTAAGCGACCCTCCGCTTTAAAACTGTATGCAAAAAGAGAAACAAAACATGTAAAACCTTTGTGTCTGAGAACGTGTGTGTGTCTGAGAACGTGTGTGTGTGTGTGTGTGTGTTTGTGTGTGTGTGTGTGTTGTAAAAGAGAAAGAAACCGTGAGAAAGAGTTGTTGAAGCGAATCTTGTTGTGTAAATATTACTGTTGAGTAAAAATGTCTTCAGACTCATATGCCACAGGTGAATTGAAAATGTTGTGGATAGCTTTTGAGTCCATTTGCTGCCCTATATATGTTTGTAGAAGTGTGTGTGTGTTTGTGTGTGTGTGCTGATGTGTGTGCCCAAGTGTGTCAGTATCTTACTTTCTCAGTAAATACCCCTGGGCTTTGTGGTCTATACTGTGTGGTTTGGAGGAGTTTGTTAGTTGAGGGCCAGGTGCAGGCAGACAACACACCGAAGATAAACGGACCTAACACATGCACCCACACACGCACACACACACACACACACACACACACACACACACACACACACACACACACACACACACACACACCACACACACACACACACACACACACACACACACACACACACACACACACACACACACACACACACACACACACACACACACACACACACACACACACACACACACACACACACAAAGGATAAATGGACCCAGTAGCAGGCAGGTCTGACAGAATGCCTTTTCACACCTGGCTGAGCCCAGCGGAAGGTGACAGAGTCACATCTCCCAAAGCAAACACACACACACACACACACACACACACACACACACACACACACACACACACACACACACACACACACACCTTCTCACATTGGGGAGTTCAGGGTCATAAGCAGCATCATGAATAAAATGAGGCTGTCTTAAACAGAAGGAGCCCCGTGTATGCATGTGTGCAGGTGTGTGTTTGTGTCTATGTGCGCCCCTAACCCCCATGCCAGTTTGGATGTGTAACGACCTTCTGTTCCCAGTGCTTAAACGGCTTTAATACTTCAATTAGACCTGGGTCACAATCCTCCACCCGTTAAAGCACGCCGTCACACACAACACACCGGGAAACACACACAAGAAAAGATGGTTTTATCAATTTGAGAGGCGACCAAAGGAGCCTCGCGGCAGCTCTTCCGTATGAAACGTATCCTCTCGTCTGTGGTTCAAAACAAAAAACTCTACAGCGAAACCTATACAGAATCCCCTCGTCACCACTTGTGCAACAATTAAACTTCTCTCCCGTCCTCTCTGCAAGCGTCTCCCCTGGAACTTCCCCCGTCCTGCTACCTCCTCCCTCTGCCATCCTCCGCCTCTCCCGTCGTGCTACCCTCGCGCTAACGATGCTGCCTTTTCATTAGACAGCCCCTGCTAATTAATCTCCATAGAGGAGAGTGACAGACCTCCCCCAACACACACACACACACACACACACACACACACACACACACACACACACACACACACACACACACACACACACACACACACACACACACACACACACACACACACACACACACACACACACACACACACACACACACACACACACACACACCACACACACACACACACACACACACACACACACACACACACGCCAAGAAGTATGCAAACACACACTCTTCTTCTTCCCTCTCTCTCCCTCCCTCGTCCCGAGTGGCGTTGGCAGCCCATTTCATGCTTTATCACGTCTTTTAATTGACAAACAAGCTGCTCTTTTCTCTTAGGCTGAGGTCTATATCACCCCCTCGCTTAGATGCACATACACACACACACTCTGAAACACACACTCACACACACACACATACATGCATACATAAGGAGCCAAGAAAACTAGTTATCTTCTCAGATTTGGGAAAAACACACAGAACAATAAGCAAATGCATCCCCTGCTGACATCTGGCCCACGTTACTGTCACACACTTTTCTACACACACAAGCACACACACACAGACAGACACAGACACACACACACACGTGAACCGGTAAGTTGTTTACAGATTAAATAAATAAATAAATAGACATTAATAAAGGTTCCCGTCACTTCTGGCTCTTTCTTTAACTTCTAAGCTTACTTTTTTCGTCGCTATGGTTCACTCAGCTGCTGCAGGGCGAGGTCAATACCCGTCACAACAAACGCATTGATCACTGACTGATTGTGTCAAACTTTTCCCTTCATGAAACCTGTGATAGTTTAGTGTCTTTAAAGCTAATCCAGCTAATAAACAACTATTTCTCTGGTTATGTCTCTAAACTCACTACCTTCTTATGAGGTAAGTTCAAATGTTAAAAACATTTAAGAAATGTGAGCGGCTGTAAGAGGGGCAGGGTGAGTGTGCTGTGGCTTATAGTCCCCCTCCACCACCACCCAACACCCCCTTGCTCTTTTGCATTTCTCTGCTGTTAATTGGGACTCGGAGCAGGACGACTGCGTCCGCTGGGATTTGACCAAATTTGACACAAGGTGAGCACAAACTGCAATCTATCAACTTAAACCAGAAATACAACCCCAAATTCAAAATAAGTATATATGTATATGCATATAAAACAACATATTTGATTCAAAATAGCACAAAAACAACCTTTGAAATGTTGAAACTGAGAAATGTCAGTGTTTCTGAAAAATGATATGCCCATTTTGAATCTGATGAGAGAGACTTGTTTCAGAAAAGGTGGGACAGGGTCATGTTTACTTATCTGAAGCTCTCTACTTTTCAGAAAATGTGTGCTCAAACAGGCCGTTTGGAGATTTTTCCCTTCATGACATCACAAAGGGCAGTAACCCCTCCCCCAGGTGGGTGACACTCCCACAGCTAGGTGTTTGTTCTGCCCTCTGAGTCTGCTTTTCTCACCGTAAACTAAAGGAGGAGGAGAAAGCCCGAGCCACCCAAGCCCTTCCAGAGAGGGGGCGTGGTCAAACACAGCTCATTTACATATTTAAAGGTACAGACACAGAAACAGCCTGTTCTGAGCAGGGCTGAAAAGAGGGGTTTATAGGCATGATCAAATACAAGATCAGAGTGGATTTAGAACAAGAAACTTCACAGACATGTTTTGTGAACTCTGACACTTATTTAAACTTGATGAAAAGAAGAATAATATGTGACCTTTAAAGCTCAAATCCAACATGACAGTCAACAGCTTTTTTGACAGTGTTGGTTTAGTAAGTTACTTACAGTGATGTGATACTGTCTCCAGATCTCTGGACAGGCCTGAAAAGGAAGAGAAATAAATTGTAAGGTCAGGAAAACTACAGAAAAAGATGTAGGACAGCGTTTATTTTATAGAGTAAATCAAGATGAGGAAATAACCTGAAGTAGCAGCAGTTAGTATGTGAAGGTTTTTATTCTGAGAACGATATTTAAGACACAAGAAGAAAAAGACAGAGAGGCAGAAGACATGGAACAAGGAGGGCGAGAAAGCAACCCTTATTATGTCTCTAACCCTCAAGTTGTTACCTCATGTAAAATCACAAAAGAGAGTTTTTGTCGCCTGCTTTGTCGGCTTTAAGGAACGCTCGCCACTTCTCTAGGCTTAATCCGAGATGTCTAGATTTGACTACGGAGTTTGGAAAATATGAATTTCGATAGCTGGATCCTCCACCTCTCATCTAAGCTTTATTTTCTTCAGCAACCCCCCCCCACACACACACACACACACACACACACACACACACATTAACACACACACACAACGCTCCTCCTGTTTGCTCTCTCCCTCCAGACCGCCGGGGTAGTGTGTTGTTGTTGAGGGCGACAGGCGAGGCGAGCGACACACTCGCGCTCCGTCAACCGTCTGTCTTTAATGAGAGACACAGAAAGGCCCATGGGACAGAGACCTGACTCTCTGTTTCTGTCTCAAACACACACACACACACACACACACTAACACGTACTGTATCATTTGTGAGTGCAAGGGGGGAAAAAGTGGTGCTTTACAAGAGAAAGGTAATTAGAATACCACACAACTTTGCACCTTTGTTTGTCGTTAAAAAACAATATGCAAAAAAGAGAAGAAGGAGATGAATGTGGGGATTGGGAGGAAGAGGGGAGAAAGGATGGACAGACAGAGAGAGAGAGAGAGAGAGAGAGAGAGAGAGGAGAGGGAGAGAGAGGAGAGAAAAGGGGTGTTGTGTGTCCTGGTCTCCACTCTCCCTCTGGTGTTCACCTGGTTACTCATCCATTACACAGAGCACAGTACATGACTGACTGGCAGAGAGAGAGAGAGAGAGAGAGAGAGAGAGAGAGAGAGAGAGAGAGAGAGAGAGAGAGAGAGAGAGAGGTATGGGGGTGAGGTGGGGGAGACACACAGGCAGGCTCTCTTACATGCACACAGGGTTTTCCATTCTTTGGCATTAGTGTAAATGGGCAAGGTAATGAACGTTGCGGTGGGATAATTGTCATTGATGGTCATTAGATTCACCCTTCAGTGCCACACACACACAACCACACCACACACACACACACACATAAACACACACAACCACACAGCTGGAATATGCAGCATGGCAGAGACATAACTAAGCTGTAATTGCTGAAGTGTATCAATTAATGTGAACAGCAGCGTGTGTTGACCCCTGGTCACTAACGTGGGGGGGGGTTTATGGGGGAGAGAGGGGGGAGGAAACAGGGGGCGACGAGGGTTTGAAGGAGTAGAAATACAAGCAGGGTGATTGGTGTTTACTTTTTTACTTTGGGTGCATGTCTGTCCGAATGTTTGCATCGAACCATCTCTCACTTTCTCGCCCCCTCCAGTCTTAGCAGAACAGCAGATACTGTTCACCATGTGTCTGGTTCTGCTCGAGGATTCTGCCTATTGAAGATTTTCCTTCCATCTGTTGCAAAGTGCTTTGAGATTGGACCCCCCGACTGACATTATTGCACATTTTGTTTTTGTTTTTTTTTTTTGGGGGGGGGGGGGGTCCATGTAGTTTTAAATATAAGTTCACCAAAGTCAAATTCCTGATGTGTGTGTGTGTGTGTGTGTGTAAGCATACCTGGTCAATAAAGCCGATTCTGAATCTGAATACGCTGTTTGGGTGCTATACTCACATCAAAGAAGTGGCCGGTCATGTGGCAGCGATGGCACTGTTTGTGCCAGTACGCCCGCTCGTTGCAGGAGTTGTAGATGTGACCCGGCAGGCCGCAGTTGTTGCAGTGCCTGTTGGGACATTCACTCGACAGGTGGCCCGGGGTGCCACAGAGGAAGCAGGGCAACACTTTCTGCACACAAACACACATACACAACAGTTTTACACATTTGTACTCATCACAAGTTGTAAATGAGACACACTGATTAGACTTACTTTGGGCTGCGGGCAGTTCTTGGAGAGATGTCCGTTCTTGTTGCAGTTTCTACATTGGACGTTCTTGCTTGTATAATATCTGTTTAGCAGCCGCTGCACCGCGACCTTGGCACCTTTGTCTTTGTTGTAGATCTGAGCCTGAAACACACACACAGTGAATGCATCAATGACGAATGTGGACTGAGCTGGATGTTTGTACCCAAAGTTCAACCATTAATCAATACTTTACAGTAAAATAAATCATAAAACAACTGCTTGTAAAGAACAGTAATCAGCTTGATGTTGTTATAAACACTGTTCAATACTTTTTAACTGTATGAAGGACAAATATTTACTTAAGAAATATCTAGAATTCCTAAAATAAATGTTTGCATGTTTGCAAAACAGTCCAAAGAAACTCTGTTTGCACTTCCAGTAAATATTGATTAAAAACATGTTTAGGTTTAAATCAATGGGTGCAGCACACATCTCTCTTGTCCTCTCGACTTTTCAGAGAATCACTGTCTGAAGCCTACACGCACAAACCACACACCTTAGAAGCATCAGTGGTTAAATGTTAGGATATATATTTCATGGTGTGACACTTACCTCCTTGTCCTTATCAGAAACAATCCAGCTCCCGTCATCTTCGACATCTGGCAAGACAGAAAAAATACATTTTTAAATACTGATACTTTTTCACTCAAGTTCAGAACCTGATTCTGAATTCTGAATCCAAGTACATCTTCAGCCATGCACAATTTGAGGTATATTTAGTTTCGGTCCCTCACACTTGAAAAAGGTTCAGATGGATCGAAACGTTGTGATTTTTCTTTAATAAAAAATATATATTTTAAATGTTCTTATCACCACACAAGACCCACAAATTAAGAAAACAACGAATAAAAACCAAAAAGCCTTAAGAAGAAAATATATTAGTACAGTAATACAGTTAAAGCTCGATACCGATAAAGGACAACTCAAATCAATGAGACAAAACTATATTGCAATACTCGTTTTAACAAGCAGAGGGTGCTATCTGCTTCCGCTTCTCTGATTTAACGTCATTAGCTGAAGAAGAGAAGTTTGCAGACATGCAAGAAGAAATTGAAGATTTAGAGATTAAGTGAGTCTGTCGTATCTGCTCAATAGGCCGATGAACTACACAAATAGCAGCGCACAACCAAGATGATGCAACACGTAAAACTGCGCTGCTTCAAGAAGCTGGGGTCACCAAAGTCACATTACGAACATACACTGGGAAGAGGATTTGAAACCCTCCTTGATGAAATGATTACAAAAGCCACAGAGATCACTACGTGCAGCTGTGTTTCATGATGTGGGCGGATGATTTACATGTTAGAGCAAGTTTTAATGCCACAACTTTTCAAAATCATGAAAAAACAATTAGCTGACCAAAGTCAGTTGTTCAAAAAAATTGTCTTTCAAAAGCTTTCTTCGCTTCACTGTTAGACACGCAGGCTGCACCTGTTTATATAAATAGAATTTAGATACATATAATGCTATACATGTCATTTTTATTATTACTTACTTTTTATTTGTTTTTGTTTTTTTTAAATCCTTTTAAATTTATTTTCAAAGATTTTGTAGGGAAATGGGGGAAAAAGTGGAAAGTGACACAGAGGAAAGGCATGGCCTAACCACTAGGCCATCCGTGCCCCAAAAATCCTTTGTTTTAAAAAAAAATCAAAAGGAATATCGTAGAAAATCGTGATAAAATGGTATAGTGATATCATAGGGCCCGACTGATGTGGGATTTTTGGGTCCAATACCTGTATCAATATTAGGGAGAGAAAAAAATTGGATACAGATATATTCGCCGATATCGTTCTTAGATGTGTCTTCGATCTGTAGAGTTAATATATACAGTATATATACAGTATATAGATGTATATACACACATACACATTTATTGTGTTGATCCCTCAAATGCAGTTATCACAGCGTGATCACCACTCGACACTCTGGAGAGTGATAATGTTTGTTGTAATCCATATAACACACTCTGCTGGTGACAGAGAACTGCTAGTGTAATACTTAAATGAACTGCTTTTTATCTGGTGAATAAATCGAGTAATATCGGCACATATGTAAAATTAGTCGATACAGATAATCACTGGATAGGCTAATATCGGCCGATATTATCGGCTGGCCGATTAATCGGTCGGGCTCTAGTCATGATATGCATTCAAATCGTTTGTTAGGTGTTTCCGGATGGGCATTCATGAGAATGTGTTTCACTCTGAGCGCTTATCTTATTCTGAAAGTAATGTTCCACCCCACCATCCAGTGAGGCTTACTCATGACTGTGAACCGGTTACCTCTACATTTCTTTCTCACTCAAACCGCATTACAGGACCGGCGGCAACCATCTTCAACAGGAACCAGAACTGACAAACTCAAGACAATATCCAGCCCTATTAAGAACTCTAAACCCTGAGGAGCAAGTTTAGTTTCCTGTTTGAGTTACACACACACACACACACACAGAGAAACTGACACAGTGGCAGCCCAGCACATCTGTATGAGAGTGGCACTAACAGCGCCCTGAGGGAGACCGCTGTATTCTCCTCAGGCCCACAGAACTGTAACTGACATCCAGAAATTGTAACACACACACTCACACACGCACGCACACACACACACGCGCACACACACACGCGCACACACACACACACACACACACACGTGTACTCAGCATAAATTATGTGCTGATAGCAGCGACCCACACAGGCTCACATGCTTTCACAAACACACGCAGACACACCCACGCATCGACCCCCACGATTAGCTGGTTGACAGTCTTTAGCCTTTGGACAAACATGCAGCCTTGAGCCATAATCAAATATTACAGTCTCCTTGCCACCTCTCTCCTTCTTTTTCTCACTCTCTCTATCCGGCTGCCTTATCGCAATTCTGCTCAGCCCTCCTTCCTTTGCTCTCTCTCTCTCTCTCTCTCTCTCTCTGTAGAGGGAGGTTATCGCCTCTCCTCCCTGTCAAACAAATTAAACTGGCTGCTGTTCGGATGAGGCTTCTTTTGCCATGACCTTCACCTCCGAACACACACACACACACACACCTACTTACAAACAGATCAACGTCTTGGTCATCAAAGTAAAAGCTTTGGACTTAAATTTGATGCTCCTGAAACTCAAAGTAGAGCTTTGAACACGAGACGATCACCATCAAATAAAACAAATGTGCAAAATTCTGTTTGGCAATGGACTCTCACTTTGTCTGATGCTCCTGGAGGTATCAAAACAGATGTTGATGTATCCATTTTTTTTTTTACTGATGTCATAGTTTATCATTCTGGGAATGCACATGTCATATCTCTCAGTTGCTGTGGACACATTGCCACTTGAAGGTGGGACATGAGGCCTCGTCTGTAATGTGTGACGCGTGGAGGCGTAATGTTGAAGTTGAGAAAGTGGTGATGTGTAAAGTTGGAGCCGGCAGGTCAGAACTGCGCTGTGTGTGTGTGTGTGTGTGTGTGTGTGTGTGTGTGTTTGTGAATCCCACAGTGTGTTAAGCCACCTTGGCTCTTGTGCTTCAGCAACGCCTCAAACCTCACACTGGGACACCAATAACACGCAGTGTGGATGCAATGTGTAACAGGGTGTAAAGGGCTACTGTAACACCAGCGTTAAAGAGTTTTTTATGGTGTACCTAGTAATGATGAATGGAACATTTATTTTTAAAAGAGAGAACGTCTGCAGTGTTCATCTCCTGTGATCAGACTGGGGGGGCCTCCATGACCTGTGTGTGTACGTGCACATGAGTCAGTGTTACACAACAAGCAGCACCCAGTCAATGGGCGGCCTGAAAATAAAAGCAGGGGTGAAAGGTGTGTATGTGGGCAAAGAAGTGCGTCTCTGTGTGTGTTAGGAGGCGTTAGTGACTCAACGAAAGTCATTCCCAAAGCGTCTCCCGGGGGGACTCCCCAAATAAAGAGCAGGAAGCTTTCCCTTAATCTAAGGGCCCCCCATCTCACCAACACACACACGGATAAAGGGTGAAGCTCTTTGTCACGGCCGAGGAATCAAACACATGGGGGGGGGGTGTAGTGGAGAGGATGGAGGAGGAAAAGAAGAGAGGGTGGGTTGGTGGGGGGGGGGCTGTTGTCTGCACACTGGGTGAAAATATGCTAATCAACCTTGAGGCCCTGTTCAAAAACCAAACCATCGGAGCTGCGCGCTTCATCGTGGCCCCGACTGATCTGAAGGAGACTGGAGCTGAAAAAAAGCAGATGGCTTCGGCTACACCGAGCAGCTGAAAGGGCTCGAGAGGCCTCCGCCATGTTGAGGACGACTCTTCCGTTTCAAATGATCTAATTGGTGAGGAATTTCTCAAAAGTTCTGTGATCATAAAATAAGAATGGCGTTAATCAGGGTCGGAACCAAAAAGACGGACGTTGAGAAAAAGGCACCCTTGTTGAGACATATTCAACGGGCTGCACAGATTCTTCATTCTCTGGGACAACTTGAACATTATCACATCACTCCGTCATCGAGGGAAATTCGACACAATGGCGAGGAAGGGGGGGGACGGAGAAACAGAGGGAGGGAATGAGCAGGGGAGAGAAGGCGACAGATGCTACCTGTCTATCTCATAGGTACCCTGATTACTGGAAGATGAGGAGGAGAGGGGAGGAGGCTGAGTGCCAGTTCATCAGAGCCGGCAGAACACAACCAAACACAACAATCCTGCGTGTGTGTGTGTGTGTGTGTGTGTGTGTGTGTGTGTGTGTGTGTGTGTGTGAGGCGCGTGGTTGGAGCTTGTGTGCCGATGCTCTGAATCTGTCTCCTCTACCAGTGAGAACAGAGCAGGAGTGTACGTGTGGCTAATGAACCATGAACACCCGGATCTCCTGGGGTGACACACACACACACACACACACACACACACACACACACGTGCACACACACAAACGCACACAAAAGGGAATGTAAGTGGACCACGAGTGACATCCTGCTCATTGGACAAGGGAGGGTTTAAAAGTCAAATAAGACGAGAACGACACACAAATGTTGAAATTTCTCGTGAAAAACCAACCTTAGCTGTAAGCACGTAGCTCGTCCTACAATTTGTCTTTATGTGTGTGTGTGTGTGTGTGTGTGTTGGTTGCTGTCATCTGCAAGCTGTTCTCAGCTCCGTCACACCAACATCAAAGCTCAGACTTGCCCTCTTTTGCCTCCTATCCCTCTTTCCTCTCCAGACACTTAAACAGGCATCCCAGGCCGGCCCGCTCCATTGTACCACTCTGTTGCCCGGGCCCATTAACACACTAAATAAGGCCTGCACGCACACACACAAACATTCACACACACAGACACACAAAGTGGAAGTGAAAGAGAGGCCTTGCCCCCCCCGAATGGAGGTAATGTTTGATACTGAAGCGACAGGGCTGGATAAGAAACACTATACATGACAATGGGTGAGGGTCGGAGGGAGTGTGCAGGCTGTGTGTGTGTGTGTGTGTGTGTGTGTGTGTGTGTGTGTACGGAAAAAAAAAAGTGCTTCCTTTTTGACATCACCCTTGCCCTACAGCCTCTCCCTTTGCGAGGTTAAACACACCAAAAGGTTGGCTAAGTCAGACGCGCACACATGCACAGACACACACACGAGCCTTTAG